TTGCACACCTAATTTACCAGCAGCTTCCTATTTACATCTGTTTTCTTAACTTCGAAAATTATAAAGGTGTGTCCAAATTCTATCCAAACATGGGTCGAGTCCATTATGATCACTAATGGAACCGACTTGTCATCTTCCCATGCAAATCAAATACTGACAAAAACTGGATGTTATTCAATTATCTTGTCTAAACTGTTCAACAAGTGGAGCAAACCCTAACATAATAACCCCAGGAGGTCTTGCATCAGTAATTTACAATTCGGTTAAATTTTTGCCCATTGTGGTTTAATAATTTCATAATAACATTGCACTTTATACATGATGCGGTTTCATAGTGACGAAATATGGCAGCATAACTGTGATCGCAGTTAATATTTTCATCATTCTGATCAGGTCAATCTTTGTCAAATGTGATTTTACCTAACATGCTATGGGGTAAGGAAAAGAAATAGAATACCGTACTGTTTTCTTTCTGCGTTAGGTTAAAGCAAGAACACAATCCATCAAGTGCGTCAAGAGGAAAGATCTTTAAAATCAACAGGAAACATTAGAGTCCACGGTCACTAATGACATTTAGCTTCTTCCTTTAGGTTAGTAATTTAATCAAGGATTTTTAACAGGGACAAGTCAGACATAAATGTCAGAACATGCCGGAGAACGTTGCCAACAACATGCTCTGTTTGGTAGCCTTTCTGGTGATGCTGACGAACGCCGGTAAGGCAGTCATTTTTACTTCATGAGGACTATTTATAGTTTGGTCTTTCCAGCGAGGCACTTTTAGGTTGTCAATCCCCCCCCCCCTGCCCTCTTTCGGGGGAAACATTAATAATATAAAAGCTCTGTGTATGTGTGTTTGTTTCTGTGCGTGTGTGAATGTGTGTGAATGTGTGTGTGAATGTGTGTGTGTGTTTGTATGTGTGTGGGTGTGTGTTTGTGTGTGCGTGCGTTTGTGTGTGTGTGTTTGTGTGTGAATGTATGTGTTTGTATGAATGTGTGAGTGTGTGGTTGTGTGTGTGTAAATGTGTGTGTGTGTGTGTGTGAATGTGTTTGTGTGAATGTGCGTGTTTGTGTGTGTGTGTGTGTGTGAATGTATGTGTTTGTGTGAATGTGTGAGTGTGAGTGCTTGTATGTGTGCGTATGTGTGTGTATGTGTGTGTGTGACATGTGTGTGTGTGAGTGCTTGTATGTGTGCGTATGTGTGTGCGTATATATATATGTGTGTGTATGTATGTGTTTTTTGTGTGTATGTGTGTATGCGTATGTGTGTTTGTGTCTGTGCGTGTGTGAAAGTGTGTGTGGGGGATGTGTTTTTGTGAATGTGTGTGTGTGCGTATGTGTGTGTTTGTGTGTGTGTGTCTTTGTGTATGCGTATGTGTGCTTGTGTCTGTGCGTTTGTGAATGTGTGTGTGTGTGTGTGTATGTATGTGTGTGTGTGTGTGTGTGTGTGTGTGTGTGTGTGTGTGTGTGTGTTAATGTATGTGTGTACAAGTGTGTTGCTGTGTTTAAGTGCGAGTATTCTTAGGTTCCACAACATTTTCGTTTCTCCCTGGATACGAAAGCTTTATAAACGCATGGTTATTCCTTACAGAGTCGTGTAGCGTGCAGCCGTCTGGCATGGAAAATGCCGCCGCCACGATTACAGCATCTTCCGTCCATCCGCACTGCTCCACGGAGAAGGCAATCCTAAACTCGCAACGAGGGGACACGTCCGTGGGATATGCAGCAGGATGGTGTGCCGATAATGGATTCACTTCTGGAGAGTGGCTTCAGGTACAATCTTGTAACTTGTAAAACGGGCCTAAATTTCCCCTCCTAGCTCTGATTGGCGGATGTTTTTCCTCCCATGAGATATAGGAGGTTACCATGTAATATTTTCTTTCAAATATCTCTGTTAGCATTTAATTTAACACTTTAATGTCTTGGGGTGGTGGGACTACGGCGCACAGATATGTCAACTTTAAATGTTAATTGTACCTTTTTGTCGTGTGGCGCTGTTAATATAAGTTGTTAACTTGAGTGCAGCGCCACACTGTCCTTGTTATGTTTTTATGTTTTGATGAGTAAAAAAAATCTTATACATACACTTATAAACTTATAAACATCAAAAACTTGCTACAACACCCATTCGCCTCACATGGTCGTCGCATACGTGTGGCAATGGCAGGGGTTATTTACTTCTTTGGTTGATTTATCATATTTCTCTTAATATACCTTTGACCTTTATAATTATTTGTGACGTAAATCGACATTAATGCCATTTTTTTAACCGTACACCACAGGTTGATCTGAATTCACTGACCAATGTATCAGGTGTAATCACACAAGGGAGAGGAGACATTGGCCAGAGGGTGACCAGCTATAAACTAACATTCAGCGCCGACGGTGTCACTTGGGAAATATATTCCGAGGATGGACAAGAAAAGGTAGTAGACAGATGTTACCTTACAGTATTACTTTGTAAGTTCATACTTTAAAAATATCACTGCAAGGCTTAACGGTAGAGAAGAGCTAATGCTATTATTTGAGCTAAGCTTTTTCTTTATTTTTTTCAAAGTTACTTTGACTGAATCACATTGAAGATGCTGAGAATTTTAACAAATGTGACCGCAAAATCTTTGAGATAGAAAGGTTGCGGCAGCAAAAAATATACTATGTAAAGATCATACACTATATGAGGAAAAGCATGAGTAAGTAAGTAAAGATTGGNACTAGCCGTAGGCGGGTTCCTGATGTACATGAAGAAGAAGAAGAACAATGCCGCCGTTGAGCCTGCACCGCCTAACAACATGATCTCTCGACATTAAAGTTCACCAGTTTTCCACCATCGTACATCACAGTGGAAATACAGTGCAGACATACAGTCCAATTAGCCTTCTATCAAACAAAGACGTCCATGTGAAGGTACAGATCACGGAGTAATTTGTATCGAGCGCAATGGTGTGTATGCTGTGTAGGGTTGCAAAGATAGTTTACTTTTTTTTAGTTTACGTATCTGTATATCGTGTGCTTTTTGCGCTGTGTATTTCCTGTGTTTGGGTGTTTTTAGTCACCAGATGGGACACAATTGTTTACTTGAATATACTCATATGTATAGATATTGTTCAGCGTCGGGGCCAAATTTGTCTACCTGTGTGTCAATATTGTTTAGCATCAGGGACAGGTGCGTTTGTTTCTATATGGTATGTTAGAGTACCAGAGACATGTTTGAGTGTTAAATATGTAATCCGTGCATTTTGACGTGCCCGTTTAATTTATCTGTTTCTCATTCATTGAGAAATTAAGCTTTAAACTCCAACTTGCCGTTTACAGTCATAAGATGACACAATAGCCCCTTCATTCTGTCGAAATATGAGAGAGTTGAAAAGGTATTACAGGATTAAGTCTGTCATCGGAGTAGTGATATTAAGCTGTATTCTGCATAAACCATATAACTACCAAAAGAACTTTGTAATAATGATTATGGCTAAATAGCAAATTTGAGACACATTTATAATCCGGTTTCTATTGTAAGATTGGTGTAACTGTTCTTTGTATTTCTTTATTATTATTTGTATAAAGCAGATGATGATATTGTGTGTAATAAAATCTCTATTACTAAACTTCCGTGTCGTTATGTGTGTAATAAAATCTCTATTACTAAAATTCCGTGTCTTTATGTGTGTAATAAAATCTCTATTACTAAAATTCCGTGTTTATGTTACCTTAGATCTGCTTGGTCTTCCGTTGCACACCTAATTTACCAGCAGCTTCCTATTTACATCTGTTTTCTTAACTTCGAAAATTATAAAGGTGTGTCCAAATTCTATCCAAACATGGGCTCGAGTCCATTATAATCACTAATGGAACCAACTTGTCATCTTCCCATGCAAATTAAATACTGACAAAAACTTGAGCTTATTCAATTATCTTGTCTAAACTGTTCAACAAGTGGAACAAAACCTAACTCAATAACCTCAGGAGGTCTTGCATCAGTGATTTACAATTCGGTTAAATTTTTGCCGGTTGTGGTTTAATAAATTCATAATCATAACACTGCATGTTATACATGATGTGGTTTAATTTCGTAAACAGTGACGAAATGTGGCTGCACAACTGTGATCGCAGTTAATATTTTCAACAGGTCAATTCTGATCAGGTCAATCTTTGTCAAATGTGATTTTACCTAACATGATATGAGGTAAGGAAAAAATAGCTAGAATACCGTCCTATTTTCTTTCTTCGTGAGGTTAAAGCAAGAACGTAATCCATCAAGCGCGTCAAGAGGAAAGATCTTTAAAATCAACAGGAAACATTAGAGTCCACGGTCACTAATGACATTTAGCTTCTTCCTTAAGGTTAGTAATTTAATCAAGGATTTTTAACAGGGACAAGTCAGACATAAATGTTACAACATGCCGGAGAACGTTGCCAACAACATGCTCCGTTTGGTAGCCTTTCTGGTGATGCTGACGAACGCCGGTAAGACAGTCATTTTTACTTTTACATTGGGACTATTTGCATTTTTGTCTTTCCAGCGAGACACTCAATTTTTAGGGCACTTTTAGGTTGTCAATCCTCCCCCCCCTCCCCCTGCCCTCCCTCGGGGAAAACATTAATATCTCTCTGTGTGTGTATGTGTGTGAGTGTGTGAATATGTGTGTGTGTGTGTGTATGTGTGAATGTGTGTGTGAATGTGTTTGTGTGAATGTGCACATATGTGTGTGTGCGTATGTGTCTGTGTGTTTATGTGTGTCTGTGTGTATGCGTACGTGTGCTTGTGTCTGTGCGTTTGTGAATGTGTGTGTGAATGTATGTGTGTGTGTGTGTGTGTGTGTGTGTGTGTGTGTGTGTGTGTGTGTGTGTGTGTGTGTGTGTGTGAATGTATGTGTGTACTAGTGTGTTGCTGTGTTTAAGTGCGAGTATTCTTAGGTTCCACAACATTTTCGTTTCTCCCTGAATGCGAAAGCTTTATAAACGCGTGGTTATTCCCTACAGAGTCGTGTAGCGTGCAGCCGTCGGGCATGGAAAATGCCGCCGCCACGATTACAGCATCTTCCGTCCATCCGCACTGCTCCACGGAGAAGGCAATCTTAAACTCGCAACGAGATGGCACGTTAGAGCGATATGCAGCAGGATGGTGTGCCGATAATGGATTCACCTCTGAGGAATGGCTTCAGGTACAATCTTGTAAGGCCACGCCGATTTAATTTTATGGATGATATCCGCGCGCGCATTGATTTTGGCGTGTTCTAAAAAAGGCACATCCTCCGAGGTCCTGGCCTGGCTCTAGGCCTGGGTAGTCCATGGTAGTTAGTGACAATACGGAGCCAGTGGTAACTCTGTAGGTATGGCATCAAGGCTGCCGAAGTTCCACGGCTCAAGAACTCGGTAGATACACTCGGTAGGTACTGCCACAAATTCACTATACCCTTTGTATTCCTGTGTTTTGGTAGCATTTTTATTTTTGGACGGATTTTTATTTATTCGCCCCCGCGCACTAGTTTGGGTGTCTTCCGAGGATGTCATCCATAAAATCAAATCAGTGTGGCCTAACTTACAAACATCAATAACTTGCTACAATACCCATTCCACTCACATGGTCGTCACACACGTTGCAGGGGTTCATTACTTCTTTTGATCAATTTTTCCTTTTTTCTATTAATATGTCTTTCATCTTTATAATTTTTTGTGACATATATTAATGCCAATATTTTATTTCTTAATCGGATACCACAGGTTGATCTGAATTCACTGACTAATGTATCAGGTGTAATCACACAAGGGAGAGGAGACATTGGCCAGTATGTGAGAAGCTACAAACTAACATTCAGCGCCGACGGTGTTGTTTGGGAAATATATTCCGAGGATGGACAAGAAAAGGTAGTAGACAGATGTTACCTTACAGTATTACTTTGCAAGTTCATACTTTAAAAATATCACTGCAAGGCTTAACGGTAGAGAAGAGCTAATGCTATTTGAGCTAAACTTTTTCTTTGTTTTTTCAAAGTTACTTTGACTGAATCACATTGAAGATGCTGAGAATTGTAACAAATGTGACCGCAAAATCTTTGAGATAGAAAGGTTGCGGCAGCAAAAAATATACTATGTAAAGATCATACACTATATGAGGAAAAGCATGAGTAAGTAAGTAAAGATTTGGTGTGTTTAAATTTAAAATGACCATGGTAAAAATCATCATCCATTTGTGACGTTTATTTTCAAAGACCAAAACAAACTTAAAAAACAAAACTACCTATCTGCATTAGATAGACGACTAAGCACGTTCTAATGTGAAAATATGTCCACATTTTTTTACTAGCTTTTGATTCTTTCCTTTAACGTAATAGGTGTTTGCAGGTAACGCCGACTCCAACACAGAAGTTGAACACCTGATTGCTCCGCCGGTCACGGCAAGGTTTGTCCGGTTCCTCCCGCTGACGTGGGGTGGATGGATCAGCATGAGAATGGAGGTGCTTCTGTGTGCTCCAGGTAGATCGGTACCAGAGTTATCCGCTAATATCGTTATTTAAAACATGTTAAAACAGTAAAAGGGTGTTGGTGATATGCTCTTTGGATGTGCACTTTACACACACATACGAACACGCACACACACACACGCACACACATGCATGCACACAGGCACACACGCAGACACCGTATAGCCTTTGCTAATCTATTTTGAATATCCGTGAAATGAAGGTAATGTAATGTGATAGGCTGTGCACTCTACACCATGGACACACATATACACACACTTACACACATACACACACTTACACACATACACACACAAACACACAAATACGCACACG